TGATTGATTGATTGATTGATTGATTGATTGATTGATTGATTGATTGATTGATTGATTGGTCTCGAGACACTGTAGTCTTGGTCTTGATTTGGTCTTGAGTTAGGTGGTCTTGACTACAACACTACCCGTTAAACCTTCATGGCATAGATTCAACAAGGTACTGGAAACATTCCTCAGAGATTTTGGTCCATTTTGACATGATGGCATCACACAGTTGCCGCAGATTTGTCAGCTGCACATCCATGATGTGAATCTCCTGTTCCACCACATCCCAAAGGTGCTCTGTTGATGAGATCTGGTGACTGTGGAGGTCATTCATTGTCGTGTTCAAGACACCAGTCTGAAATGATTCATGCTTTATGACATGGAGTGTTAAGACTTTTTTTTTTAACTTTGGAAAGGGAACCCTTTGGGAAACTAGAATTGAGCGGAACTGTGTAGGAAAACAAGGGCCAGGCTGGCCCTCACACAACGATTTTGTCACTATCAGCTCTATATATTGGGTTAGTTACATGTATATAGAATACTCCATCTTTTAGGACACTGGTTTTTTGCTTGGATACCAACATATTTAAACAAACCTTGACTAATATACCAAACAAAACTGCTAAACTCTGACATTTAGAGCCTGAAATGTGACAACTCTTTGCATTTGCAGTTGGTGAAAACAAAAGTGAAAGCACATTGATCCATATCTCACCTCAGAGCTGCTACATAAAAAGTCCCTGGTAAGAAATTTCCATTTAAACTCAACCTGAGATTTCCTTTCTGTGAACTTTCCCAGCCTAGATTTGCAGGACACTCTCACTCTCTACTCCCCATTTTTGTGTTTATATTTTATCCTCTTCCTCAGCRTGGCCGTTCTTACGTTTGTGTCCTGTCCTCTCCAGCTGATCGAGACAGACGATCCCTCATTCTGGTTTTATTATCTGGTTTATTCCTGTTTAAAAGATGTTTCTCCCCACTGTCTCCTTGTGCTTCAGTCACCTGTTGAAGTGTCCCTGGACAAGTCACTGAACCCCCTCTACCTCTGATGTGTCCCATCAGTGCATGAATGTGATTTAAAGCACTGATTAGTCTCTATAGGATGATTTGCACATGTTAGCTTTGTAGAGAGATAATAAAGTGCTGTGTGAATGGGTTAATGAGGGCACAGATTGCAGTGTAAAGCACTTTGAGAATCCTGGTTAGAAAGGCAACTAGTACAGTCCATTTACCGTTTACCATTAACCCATCAGTAAATACTCACCTGTGCTCTATCATCCTGGACTCTTGCTTCCTTTCTGTGCTGCTGGATCTCGTCGGACCTGTAAAATTAAAAAAAAACATATATTCACCTTCTCCTGCATTTACCCTTTGGATTTGATATTAACCACTCGCCTCCTCCACTTGCAGACCCAC